CTGGGCTACACAGACCGCATCTCGAAGATCCACCATCCTCCGCGGCAGAGCTGCTACAGGCGAGGACGAGGAGCCAGAGAGTCCAAGTATCCGCCCCGCAAGCCGCGCTGCATCCCGCTCTAGAGCTCCGGATCGAGCACTTATGTCGTCTCCACCAGCGCAGGAGCAGGTTGGGTCGACACCAGGATACATGCGGACACCCTCCCGCCCTCGCAGAGCTGGTCGATTCCGCCCACTCCCCACGCCTGTAGCGTTCACACCTCTCGCGTTCGAGTCTGGATATCTCACCACTACGCCCGCCCCATTATCGACTCAAGACGAGGTGGAGGCCGATCCAGTGCCAAGTAGAGGAGTGACAGAAGGTCTCACGCCACAAATCACGCCTTTCTCTCGCAAACTGCGCGCTGGAGGGATCGGTGCTGGCGCGGGTCCGCTTTCGGCGTTGAGGAGGACTGATCTGGGACGGTCAGTGCAGGGAGGGACGGGTAAGAGTGTGAGGTTCGCTGGGGCGGGGAGGTTTAGGGGTGATCCAGGGTTGCATGGGAAGAATAGTTGATGTATGAATGCTATGACGTTCCGAGTACTATTTGTCTTAACAAACAGTGGCCCGCTTATAAGTTGCTGGAGGCGTTCAGGATATCGTGCCTCAATGCTGGTGAAGTTCAGCGGCCAAGGGTTAGGGTTAGGGTTATGGCGACGGAGACTTCTAGGAGATACCACCTCCTGGACATGACACGAGACGACTCCTCCCCAGTCACCTGCTTGGGCGTCGCCCAGGATCGCGTCTCGTACCAGCAAGGACTGATGCAGCACCGGCAGCAGATGCCGGGCACATGTGCACATTATTCGATGCCATCAGTCGGAGCGCATGCTCCATTCCAGAGATGTGACTTCAAACAATGGGTGGCGACTTCCGTTTACTGGCTCCCAGTTGCAGGTTGGCGGAGTGTAAAACGCTTCGAAGACCCCACCTGCAGATAAGTTCGCGTTGTCCCCAGCATGCCACTGTTGGCGTAACAGCGAACTTCGAGCCTTTGAACACCACACCGCAATGGAGGCTATGGAAGATATGGACCATGGCTCTATGAATCATGGCTACAAGGAACCACTTGTACTGACCATAATCAGCGCTGTTTTCCTGATTCTCGGAGCGATCTGCTTCCTGATCATTGTCGTCGATATCGTATGGCGACGTGGGTGGAGAAGCATGATGTTGATCATAATGGTACGGTTTAGATCTTCTCTGTCATCCACGATGTATTGCTGACTGTTCAGCCAGCCGGTCTACCCCATCAACGCGGCATACATGCTACCTTTGGAGCTCTACGTGTATCTCAAGTTCGGTAGACCGACGAAACCCGGCATCACGGATCCGACCAACGACAGCCATTGCCACAAGACCAGTGGAGAAGCTGAGAAGGGCAACTGCAGCGACGGTTCGCCACCCAGCACAATGGGAAGCATGCCGATCATTGAATCGATATACGACAATGGAGACCAGCGTCCGAATCTGACGGGCGGAAGCCACGACCATGGCTGCCACGAATCCGGCCTAGACCACACCTCCGCCACGCTGGCACATCCGAAGCCAGACATGTCCCATTGCAACCACCACGACTCCGATCGACCCATGTGGGCGACCGTGCTCGTCGGCGTCTCTCATTGTGGCGCTGGATGCGCCTTAGGCGATATCGTCGGCGAGTGGCTGGTCTACGGTACAAATGCAAGGCTGGATGGCGAGATGCTCTGGCCTGCACTGCTGACCGACTACGCCTTCGCCCTGCTTTTCGGCATAATCTATCAGTACTTCTCCATTGCGCCCATGACTGGCGACTATGGTCCGACGACGGTGTGGCGTGCCCTCAAGGCGGACTTCCTGAGCTTGACCAGCTTTGAAGTTGGCGCCTTCGGCTGGATGATCGTATACTAGGTCGGAAAATTCGGGTATCGCCTGGAGATGACCAGTTCGACGTACTGGTGGTAAGTAATCCAGTCGTCAACTTCACGATCTGACATGTGCTCATTGTGCTCCAGGATGATGCAAGTCTGGATGGTATTGGGGTCTGCAACTGCGTTTCTCGTCAAGTGGTGGTTGATCAGCAGGGGAATCAAAGAACCATGTGCTTGACCGGGCGTAAGATTGTTCAAAAGTTACCGACCATCAAGGGCGGTAAACGCAGTATTGCAAACCATCTCTACTAATGCGTCTATGATCTATCTAGCCACGACCATGATGCAAGCCAGTCATACTCAGTCGAGATCCTCCTTCAAGTCGTCCTTTCGCTGCTTCTCACTCATCGCATATTCTTCCATATCCTCAGGCGTGACGTCGAAGTCCTTGCGGAGACCAGCAAAGCGCGTATCGATGAACAGGTAATCGACTTGCTCCAGGGTTTTGCCGCCAGCTGCACGGACGTCAGTGACGAATTTTCGATAACGATGTATAACAATGGACTTACTCTCGGGACACAGCAGGTATACGAAGACGATAGCGATGACATTGCAGCTGATTACCCAAAGCCAGAAGTACCATCCGATGCGAGCGAAGGCAATAGCTGAATAGATGTTAGTTACCTTCCTGGTCACTGTAGCTATTGGGAAACTTACGTCCTGCAAACACCGTCTGGAGCGATGTTAGCTACTTTCTTCTTGATCTGGAGGCTTGCTTACAATGAATGTCATTAGCCATTCGCCGGTCGCACACGCTCCAGCACCAATATGGCGATACTCCAGAGGTGCAATTTCCGCACCTAAAGTGGATAAATGGGTCCGCAAGTGTCTCGAGCCTGTAGGTGAGTGAAGTCAGGTCTCAGAGCGCCGCATAGTGCTTGATGTTGGCTCGGATAACTCTTCCGCCCATCGAGCTAACGTACAGTACCACCAGACACATCCCTGCCAAGCATAGCCAAAGGTGGCCAGGAACAGGAAGATGATTGCGATCGAGGCCCATTGAATCGCTGGGTGTCCAGGTCCAGTCGCCACCAAGGCAGTAAACGCCGAGATTAGCACGGTCATGGCGATTGCGCCGTACAGTAGGACTGAGCGGCGTCCGACACGCTCAACTGTGAAGTACAGTGGTACACAGCCGAGAGTAAAGAAGATATTTAGAACTCCAGACAACAACGAGACCAGGGACGGCTTCGCGACTGTCGAGAGGATGACGCTGCCTGTTCAGTGCCAGTCGTTGCCTATGTCGGAGGTCCGAATGGTATTTACTGTAGTATGCGATGAGACTGGAGCCCATCCACTCGCCTGCGGGATTCTCAGGTCAGCTATGGTTCTCGTCGAACGTACAACACCTATCGCTGTCCTAACTGTGGCAGCGGGGAATCCAAGAGCTTTTGCTTGCCAGACGGTCTGAACAGAATTCTGGAGACATACGAATCATCGGCATCCAGAAGCAGATGCAGATGCGCCGGACGATCTTCATGCGGGTGTTGTCGACAATGCCGCTGGTTAGGAAATCCTGCCATCGCAAACTTGAATTGGCTTCGAGTTCAGCTTCAATGTTCGCCATAATTTCGCGACGAGTATACTGGACCTTCTCGCTATCGACGTCGGTGTCGTTGAGCTGCGCAAGGACCGCATCGCCTTCTTCGAAACGGTTCCGAGCGTAGTACCAACGAGGCGTGTCTGGTAGGAACCACATCGTGCCACCACTAATGATGGCGAAGATGCACTGGAAGATGATTGGGACCCGCCTGCCAAAACATCAGCAAGGCTTCATCTGTGGTTGGATCACGAGACCTACCACGACCATTGGGCATCGCTAAAGGTGAAGCCATAGTCGATCCTAGAGCATCTACTGTTAGTCGGGTCTCAGCGCCTATCAACATGCGTACTCACCAATACGCAAGCGGCACTCCAGAAATGAGCAGAATCGCATTAAAGGCGTTCGCAGGCCCTCTATCTCCAATCTCGATTCCGGTCTCGTTGAGGTACGTCGGCACGGCACTGGAGATACAGCCGATCGCAAAGCCAGTACACAGTCGTACTACAATCAGTTGCGAGACGCTATACGAACTCGCCTGGATTACTGAGCCGATGATCGCAACAATCTGGTAGAACAGAAGCGCAGAATCAGTCTATGTCTCAGAGATCTGTTCTACGTCGTGGACCTACTTTACCCAGAACCACCGTCCCACGACGTCCAATGTTGAACGCGAAGAACGCAACACCAATAGCTGTAACGCAAGCTGCAAGGTCGTACGAGGCGACGATCATGGGTATGACATAGTCGCCCGTGCGATTGCCGATTGCCTCTAGGAAGGGAGGGTGGAGCAAAACGCCTCCCAGAACGCCTGCGTCGTATCCGTACCTGTTGAACGCAACAGCAAGTTGTCCCGCAGTCAGCTGAGGGAGTCTCTGTACATCATAAAGGAAGTACCGCAGATGATCTTCATAAGCAGATAGAGCTTCCGCCCTTTGAGTGTGATGAGCTCCATGGTGATCAGTATTGATAAAGTTGACAAGATAGAACTTAGCTACGACAAGGCCGTATACAGAGTATTTCGAAAAGTTTTTGTGAAGTGAAGGGAAGTCGAGATATTATGATACACTACCTCGGGTACCTGACTTGCTAGTCCGATGCAATATGGACGATCTGCCATATAACGATAAAAGTTGGCCGGGAATAAACACTTAGTCCTGCATCTCCACACGTGGACTGGGTGGAGCAAGGCTGATCATCTCGTGGTCGCTGCAGGTGCACGCACTGTCGCTGCCCGCTCATGATGCGAGTCATGTCTCTAAGTTGAGTGGATGCTCCGAAACAGTAATCTGCCTTGCAAGGTATACAGATACCACAGTAGACGAAGTAGTAGATGTGAGAAACCAAACGATGAAGCTCGCTTCTTGCATGTGATTGTTAAAAACCGAGTGAGAACTCGGCATACTTGCTTCCTGACCCTGGAAGCTCGGGGAAACTTCGGATGTACGTTCAACAGCAGCTATATACAAATAACAAATTCCAACTTCGTATTATCCAGTCATAACTGCCTTCCGATGTGGTCTAGTGGCTAGGATTTCTCGCTCTCATGGTCGTCAGACCTAAAGTGCCGAGGAGGCCGGGGTTCGATTCCCCGCATCGGAATCTGTCTAGTGACAGTGATGCTTGTGTATACCACAATTGCTTGGTTTGAGTCCAAGTGTACGAACTGGCCTTCATTTTTTTGGTTTTTCCCTGCTTAATACGACGACGAGAAGCATACATGTACAGGCAGATACCAAGCCATTGCTCAAGTTCAAGTTGCATTGGAAGGTAGACTTTTTGGGGTTCAGAGTATACTACCTTATGGTACGATGATTAAGGTATCGACTGCATGAACGCCAGCAGATGCTCCCCAGTAATGCCAACATGAGCGTGTGCTCTGCTCATAACCCACAGTCTCACTCCATAGCGCCACGCTTATCCCCACATATGTTACAGTGCCATTCCTTTGCGGTAGCTCATCAATCGACCCTACGGTCATGCTCCTCCGACCCTCCGCCGCACAGCTAGTCACGCATCCCCCAGCAACCGATACACCGGCCCCTTCCTGAACATGAGCGGTCCACTACCCCGTCCATGCCGCCAGACCAGGTACTTCCGGTACGCCCCGTAGACCACGAACAGCAGACTGATGTTGCACGCCACGATCAAGACGAACTTGAACGGCGACATGTGCGTGATGTCCTTCGGGATCTGCTTGTTGACGGACGGGAAGTACGAACCCATGATACCTCGATCGATGATCTTGCTCATGCCGTGGTCAAGCTCTTCGCCGTTTTCCGAGAGGGCGATGACGCGGACCCAGCGAGCATCGCCAATGTCGGTGGGGACGGTAATGGCGGTCTCGAATTTGTGCTTGGGTACTCGTTCGATTTCTGTCCAACAGGCGGTATCGCCTCTGCTGGTCGAGAATTGCAAGACCCATTCGGTGACCTCTGTAGCTCCGTTCCAGGAAACAAGCACTTCCGAATCATCATCCGTAATAGCTACGCTGGGCGGCTTGTCCGGTCGGCCATGCCACTCGAACTTGTATGAACGGTAGCTTTGCGCGTCGCCACGCTCGAACGAAGTTGTTGCGGCAAAGTGTACGTCGCAGAGCACAGTGCCGTTTGCGTCAAACTCGGTCCAAGCAGCATTGAGCCCATATCCAACAAAGATCTTTGGGTCTACTCCCCCGTCTTGAGGCAGGATCTGCATCGAGCCTTGTGAAGACGAGCGGATATGGTCGGGGTTCTCGTACGACTTGATGAGACGCACGGTATAGGCCGGATCGGTGCCATTGATCGCTGGAATCTTCTTCTCGTCTTCAGTTAGCTCTCCTTCCCTCAAAGTCAGTTCCCGATGGCTGCTGGGTAGAGGCCCTGCCATTGCCTTCTCGGTGCCTGGTGTTGGATAGGTCAATTCCAGAAGTAAGCCGCGCGATAGATTTAGTCCAAAGTCGTAATGCTGATCTTCGGCGGCATTGTCGAATAATGTCACCAGTTGTGTCGTGAACCCTGCTGGTAGCTCGGGCGGTGAATATGTGTTCGGAAACATATCAGGAGATACAAATCGAGCATCATGCTGCCACGCAAAGTTGGTGGCGTTGCCGTCACTCATATCCATGAAAAAGTTCCTCTTGCCGCCAAGCTGCCAGATGATGTCCTGGGTCTTGCCATCAATATAGGTAAGGCTGTGCGGGTAACGAGCAGATATGAGATAGTTGCCCAACTCGTCCTTCACCATGCTGTTGATATGGAACCAGTCCCACGGGTCGTTCTTCGTGCCACCGTTATAGATGGGTCGGTATGTTTCGGTGACGTTGTAGTGCTCGGACGCACGCCATTGAAACACCAATTCCCCAGTCTCGATGTTGACCTCTTGAAACAGGCAGTCCCAGACATAGTTCGGGTCCTGGTCTTCCGGGTTGTCTGGATCGAAGTCTCGAAACATCGATACGTCCCCAGGGACGATTTCATATATGGTCAGAAGCGCAGTGCCTTCCGGAAGTATCAGGAACTCGTGCAGATCCGCTTCCATGCCATTCGCACCCCCAATCCTGTGCACTATTTCATATGACGAGTTCAACAGGTAGTAGGCACCAGCACCATGCCCTCGAACTCTATCGTCTCCCAGCCAGAATGTCAGAAAGTCCTCGTCCTTGTATCGCTGAACCATGAAGTCGTACGCCTGTCCTCCAAATCTGTTCTCGAAGTGATGTGCCCAGACCAGCTCTCCTCTCCTATCCAATATCATCGGTCCAGGATCGGGTAAGCTGTATCCTCTCGGTGTAATGAAGTAGTGCAATCCATCATCGCACTCCGGACTCCACTGCAGGAAGTTCGTCTCCGGCGCTCGAACATCCGGAGCAGTCTTGTATGACCGTGTCGGATAGTAGCCGTATGTCCCATTGTCTATGAGTGCATCGTATTCGGGTGGTGGCAAGCGGTCTGGTGCTCTCGCTGCGAGGCATGCTGTGAGTTGCCAGAAGAGTAGCAGTCCTGCCTTCATCTGGGCGGGTCGCCGTCCAATGGAAAGATATGCCAATATAAGCAGTCGCAGCTCTTGATGGCCTGTTCGCTTTCAATCATGTGTACTTGCGCCGAGAGTGTTTGCTGGATAGCGCAATTGCCGCTTGGTGTGTTCAGCGTGTTCGAGTGTCGAGGTCGAAAGGGTGACGTATGCGTTCGATTCTGTTGCGTGTGCGGAACCAACTGTACCACGCCGGCGTGACACGCAATTGCAATGTAATTAAGGCAAGGAAGGAAATCTTGCGGTGTAGAAAGGGCCTGAGAACGGAAGCAAGTCACTGGCCAGGTATCGTTCAACACGGCGCCCGGCATCGCAATCTCCAATCTTACAGCGCGGGCAGATGAGGCCACCCGTGTCAGGGATGCACTTGCCGCCTTCCGTCACGTGGGGACTCCTTTCTTCCACGCCACTCCACCTCCATCTCCATCTCCACCCAGCGTTGTGTATGACCAGAGCGCGAGTCGAGGTTGGGGTGCAGGGCTGACTACATGTGCCATCTGAAGGCCGGGAGCCAAGGCCGGACAGCAAACTATCCGTATCAGTCCGATGGCGAGCTGCAGACCTGATGTTGCGCAACGACACGAATATCCTTGTCACCTGATGACGCGTCTACATTTTCTCTGGCCATGGACATAGCGTCTGATTCACTTTGATCGGCGACCCGAGAGCGTGCAATGCTCTGCCGGCTCTGCGAGACGTTCTTGACCAATATTGTGCACGAGGACTTCTCTACATGGCGGCGGATCGAGCAGGGCTGGTCCACTTTCAAGCACGGCAACTATGCTTCCATCCTTGCCAATGCCGATGCAGGCTGTGAGGTCTGTAGCATGTTCGACATTGTGCGCTCAGAAAGGACATTTAACTACCGTGAGTTGAACGAGAAGTGGCAAGTGCAAGCGGCGTCCATCGTCATAAAGTACGACTACGACAAGACCGATGTTGGTAGGGTGGATCTAGATGGGCACTTGACTCCCAAAGGATCATTCCAGCTTCTCACTGTGGCTCCAGAGATGTCCTGGATTCCTTTCGAGCTCTTCAACCCTGACTCACAACACACAGAGTTCGGACGTAAATCTCGTCAAGAATTTTTGCAATACAAGCTTGCAGTCGCGAAATCACCAACGTCTCGTGGGACGATCGATATAGCGAGAACTTGGGTCGACGAATGCTTATCTCACCATGTACCATGCAGACGATCAACAAGCGCGCCTCTACCGACACGGGTGATTGAGCTCGGATCTTCAGATGAGAAGCCCACCCCAAGGCTCCAAATCAACGACAACGGCGAGTTAGGGCAATACGTAACCTTGAGTCATTGCTGGGGAACGGGCAGTGAACTCAAACTCACCGATAGCAATCGAGAGGCGTTCCGGAAAGCTATCCCATTCGACCAGCTCCCGAGGACCTTCCAGGACGCTATCCAGATTTCAATGGCGTTGGGAGTTCGATACATCTGGATTGACGCCCTTTGTATCATGCAGGATGATCGAGATGACTGGCGGAGAGAATCAGCCTCCATGGGCGCGGTCTTCGAAAATGCTCTGTTCTCTATGTCAGCCTTGACGGCCGAGGACAGTAATTCTGGCATACTTCACGATCGTGCCGCACCGTCTGCTGTTGTGCAGCTAGGTGGGACCACATTTGGAGTGCGCAACAGGATAGATTCTCTGCCTCAAGCACTGCGGAGAGCGAGACTCGAGACCCGAGCATGGTGCTACCAGGAGCGGTTGTTGCCGAGAGCCATCTTACACATCGCTCCGGAACAGATGCACTGGGAGTGCCGTGCAGGTGTCTTCTCAGAGTCGCTTCCACGCCACAGTGCTGAAGCCGTCATGAATATTGAGCCCTCGAAAGCCTTGCTTTCTGTTTCAGGGGAAATCACATCACGCACAACGACTACAGACTGGCTTCGCCTTGTCTCAGAGTACAGCAGCCGCGATATCACAAAGCCATCAGATAGGCTACCTGCTATAGCAGGTTTGGCCGATAGAGTTCAGAAGCAGATGGGCGACGCTGTCTATCTGCAAGGTCTTTGGTCCCACGGTCTCTATGCCCAAGTCCTCTGGCGGCGCAGCAAGCTGATGCATGGGCGAATCATCCCGAGTCGAGACAAATACCTCTTGCGTGCTGCACTGAGCAAGGCCGAGCGTCCTCGAGAATATATCGCACCGAGCTTCAGCTGGGCGTCTCTCAATAATGCCGTTGAATATCCAATGCACGAAGAGTTCCCCTTCCGGCGAGAAGTCGGGTCGGATGCGGTGTTCGGCACTCATCATCTCCAACGCCAGTCACAACATATCAATGTCGAAGGACTGGTGAAGCGTGGATCGTGCAAACCGGTGGCCTCGAAACTGAGCCAGACCGACCAGGCTATATTCAGGCCCTCGAGTTCTCAGCTCGTCGATGAAGGTCTGGTCTGCTTCCTTGACTTCGTTGACGAGCCAGTCTCGAGAGGCTGCTACTGCCTGCGAATTGCAGACTGGAGTCAATCCTCAACGAGCGGTAGCAAGAAAAAGCGGCAAGACACCGAGCGAGCCTGCTACCTTATCCTTGAGAAGTCAAGCGATGGAGCTTCGGGAAGCAATACAGAG